TTGTTAAAAAATAATAAAGGGTTGGTTTAATTCAGTTTATTTTTTTTAAATGTCACCCCCAACTCAAAATTTCTAAAACTGTATAAATATTACAGTACATTCTGGAACATTCTAGAACTTGTTTTTGTTTATTTGTAGGTTTGTATGTTATGCTATAAACTGTTAAATGTGTTAAAAAGTACATAAGTACTATCCAATAAAATTATTTGTAAATTGAAAAATAAAACTTCTGCAAGTTTGCAATTTTTGTTTATTTGTAAGGCCATATGTTATGCTATAAACTGTTAATTGCATTACAAATACACAAGTATTATCCATTTATAGCAAATTCAAAAATAAAGCTTTTGAAATATTTTGATTTTTTATCCTAGAGGTGGTGGGGAGTTTCAAGAACTGAAACAAATTAATGCCTTTTTCATTACTTTTGAACAAAAGTTCATTGATTTATGACACAGGAACAGAGGCTTACAAAAAAGTCATAACCCTAATTTTATATATATCTCAATTGATAATTATTAGGGATAATTCCAAGGAGGACATTAATCAAAAGAGAGCTCAATGTAAGAACAGAGCAACAAATTTTTTAAAACTTTATATTGAAATTTTTCTTTTTCTTTCTTCCTCTTTTAATATTAAATTTTTTTCCTTTTTCTTCTCCCTTTTCCTTTCGTCTGGATAAATTGACTCCATTTATTAAAATGTCAGTCTCAATAGATGAATGTATTTTTGTATATTCACAAAATAAATTATGACCGAATGTATTTTTAAGGATCATCTGGACTCATTATATATATATATATATATATATATATATATATATATATATACACACATATATATATATATATATATATATATATATATATATATATATATATATATGTATGTTGTTTGATACTTATACTTGACTGGTATAAAAAATCCATATAGTACAATTTGCAAATAAAAATATATTTAGACAAACTGGTATCTGGGGAAAAAAATTGGAAAAAAAAGTAAAGACAATAAACATCTGAGTAGGTCGAAAAAGGAAAAAGAAAATCGCTTAACACGGTAATGCCTAGACAAAAGAAAAAACCCAATCAAGTAAAATAAGAAAAAACAAAGTGCTCAATAGAGTAAATAGAGCAGAGTATAAAAAATCCTAGTGAGCCAGAAACTACCTACCTAGGTTTCACTTAAATATATCTTTAGTGCACTCTGAAGATCCATGTAGGTGAAATCTAGGTAGGTAGTTTCTGGCTCACTAGGATATATATAAGAAGACAATAGGAAAAACTGTTCTAAGCTGACACTTTTCATCCTTCGAGGATGAGAAGTTTTTTTTATTGTCCTTTTATTCATTGTTTCTTTACAGATAAGCTATATCTGACAGTTATTTATATATATATATATATATATATATATATATATATATATATATATATACACACACACACACACACACACAATAAGGGACAAATATGAAATGTTTATCAATCTAACATGTTTCATTTTTTTGTAAAGCTTCATCAGCGATTGAGAGAAAACAGATAAAACAACAGAACTGGTTTCTCTCAATCTCTGATGAAGCATTAATAAAAATGAAACATGTTAAATTGATATATGTTTCTTATTTGTTCTTTATTTTATCATCCTGTCAGATTCCAATCAATATTTGATCTTTAATTCATTCATAAACACACACACAAAATGCTAAAAAGGATTTTTCAGAAATGTTAGATGAAAAGATTTTTGTCAGGAATTTTCTAATTGGCTGAGGTTGAATATTTAATGACTTAAGAGGTTTGATTCCACCCTTTTGGGTAATATTAAGAGAGAAATATACCAATGAAATTAAGAAGTAGCAACAGGAAGAAAGGAAGGAAGGACAGAGGAGTGACTAATAAAATTCATAGTAGGGTGGGAAGTAACTGATTGATTTATAAAAGAAAGAAAAACAAACAAGGACTCTAGACTACAGCCACCCTCTTATAATAGATAAATCACCTCAAATTTTGGCTTGTAAGTCGTTGAAACTGGAGACCCTCAATGTCATCTTAAAATGAAGTACTTTACCTGAAGAATTATGGAGAATCAGAAATTTTAACTTGAGAATTTTTGACCAAGCTTGAAATTAAGAAGTTTGGCAAGTAATCTTGCTCAAAGTCTTGAAAACACTTTTCCCTGTCTAACCAATATTGTCTTACTTCATTATGAATTATTATTTTTCATTCTTGTGACGACTAGCCAAACAAAGACAGAACCTCTAACAGGGTTGATTCCAACATTTCTAAAGCTGACTGAATAAACCATTTTTTTTTTTTAAATGCTTTTCAATAGGCATTTTCCGATCCCTTTGAGATCACCAAATCCACTCAATTTGATGGATATTCAGACCAACTGTTCCAAGTGACTTCTTCATGGATGGAGATGTCAGTTGGCCGAGACAGAGACGAGCACAAGTGAAGATCATTTGCCTTTAATTTCTTAATTGGTCATTTATAATTGTTCTAATTAACAGGCAACTTGTTTTATGTCTTTCTTTAAAATTATTTCATTTTAGACGAAATATACATACCTGTTTCCATAGTGATACAAATTACCCACATATACACACACACACACATGCTGCAGTCTATAAATTTTTATTTAATCAGTGGTGGAAGTTTTTTTTTTTTAATTTTTTTTTTTAAGTTGCATCTTGAGTGGCAAGTAGGGGGGCATAGGAAATAAAAGATTAAAATCAGATTTTGAATGATGGGAAGAAAAAATAATTTGTCAATTTTGAAATAATTAAATATAGATGAAGAAGTAAAGTGAAGCTTTTCGGCTACCGACTCCTAACAATATCTTTCCTTCTCATTTGTGTGTTTGCAAAGTTAGAATCATAAAAAAGAAAAGAGGAACAAAGAAAGAGAAGACTGGACAAATCTTTGCAGAGGAACTTGATGGTACCATTTTCTAAGGTGACTTGCAAAAAGACTATCAAGAGAAAAAGTCACCTTGCTATTCAAAAAAATTTTTTAAAAAATCAAAAAAATCAGGTGCCACAAAATTGTGCAGGAAATTGTTTTCCATAATAGATGAATTGTAATCAGAAACTTTTTTCATTATTTCTCTTTAATAAAACATTTCAGAAGAAACTTTTTTTTTTAAATATTTTTTAAAAATTTTAAAAAAATTCAATATTAATGCAATTATCACTTTAAACAAATTTTTTATTTTTGTTTTTTACAAATCCTTCTGTTTTCTTTCTTGCTTTTTAACAGATTTGAACCGACTCTTAGATTGCCAAATCATAATTGTAAAAAATATTTTGGGGAAATTTTATCACAAAGTTATTTTAAATTTATTTTACATATATAAAAAGAATTTGTGTATATTTCCTGAAGGGGGTGGAGGTGGAGGTCTGCTTGATTGGAAAGTAACTAAAGAAAAGTTGTAATGAGTGTAATCATAAAGTATTTAGAAAAAAAATTCCTCACCATTATTCCCATAAAATAATGGCAGGATTTTTTTAAATTCATGCACAGGTCCACAGATATGGTCTTGCAGGATAATCAACCTTTGCCTTTACTTTTTTGTCTATTGCATTTTTCACCTTGGGGTTTTCTTATTAAAAGAAATTATGTCAACAGAAAACAATCAGGCTTTTGTAGCACAAATAGAAAACTGATAAGCTTTTTTTTTTACCTAATGATTTCAGTTTGATGATTTTACAAGTATTATAGTCTTTCCTATTACAGATCTGAGAAATGTATACGAGTTGCAATACGACTATCATGGAGACTACTAGCATTTATTACATATTTATATTTTGAAGAATATAACTTCCTTTATGAAGAGAGAAAATGTCACAATATTTCCAGATGCTGTCATCGATCTACCAAAATTTGATGTCTGAAATAAAATATTGTCAGTGCTGCACAGAACAAATCTTGGTTTTTCTTCTACAGTGAAGTGTTAATTTTACCGTATGTATTTGTTACTGAATATAAACTAACCTTCCATTCAATATGTCCTTTGTGTGATGGTGATTATTTTATCTATATTCTGAATAATATTTTTGGCACTTTAATAATTGCTCCTTTACTTTGCATAATAATAATAATTTTGATTTTAAATAAAATTGAATGTTTGAATTTGAGCAAAAATTGTAGTAACCAAAATGATTAGACATAAAATCAACTGAGAAGAGTAGTTGAAAAATTTGCCTAAGCTCTGAATATTTGCATTTGGATTCTGGTATTTAAAGAATAAAATAGGAGAAAGATCTCCCTACACCCAAAAGATTTTCTATTTGCTAACTAACATCAACTGAAAGATTTCTCCAATGTCTAGATGGCTACAGAGCAGGTTCAGTAATACTGGTCAATTAAGCAATGTCTTAGAATTTGACAAAATAGTAATAGGAATCAATTGTTGAAATTAATTCGTTAAATGTCATCCTACAAAGGTGTTAATGATGAAGCCAGTAGTTACAGTGCTAAAACTTAATGAATTTATTTTTAAAAAAGTGTAATTCATGTTCTATTTAACAAGTTATATATAGTGTATTATCAGTTTTACTGCCTTATTTGTGAATATGAATTTAGTATGGAGGTGGGGGAGAATGGAGAAATTTCAATATATGACCAAATGAAAAATTTCTCAGTATCTTAAAATGAAAACAATTTAAACTGTGTTACATTAATGTTTGTAATGTTGTAGAAAAATATAAAATTACTTTAACTACAAGATACAGACTGCTCAGAAATAAAACAATGAAAATTAAGTGAATTTTGTAGATTGGTTTAAAAAAAAATTACTGCAAATTAGGAAATGAAGGTGTGCCGTAGATTTTAGAGTGGATTTTTTAATTGCGAACAGACCTGGTTTATTGGTGAACCTGCAGAGTAAGATGGACAAGCCCAGATGATGGTGCCTTCCAATCAAGAACATTGCTAAAATTTGGAGTTTGTGTATGTATCTTATTTTCAACAGAGAAGATGATAAAATGGAGATCTCAACACCTTATTTTAGGTACAGAAAGAAAGGGAAGGGTTTGAGAAAAAGAGTGGGGGGGAATGATGAAACGAAGAGAGAGAGAGAATTTGAAGGAAAATGTCTAGCCCATGGGGAGGGGGGAGAAGACAATCTGAAAAATAAATCATTATAATCAACAACAGCAGCAGCAGCAGACAGCAAGGCAAAAATTGTCCTTTGTTTTAATAAAAAAAAATCTTTAAGAGTCAATAGATAATGACAAAAAACAGAAACCGCCCCCCCCATAAAAAAAAACAAAAAACAAAGAGGGCAAGACAAAATATTTTTTTTACCCTTCTTTCTTTTATTTTCTCTATCTCTCTCTCTCTCTCCTGCCCCTCAATTACACTGCTGCTGCTACTGCACGTCGTCATCGTCGTGACAACCACTATCATCAACACTGTGGCTGCTATAGCCCCACCCCTTCCCATGATTTCATATCCCCACCACCACCACCACCGCCATTGTCGTCATCATCATCATCATCAAAATCCAGTTTCTTTTATAATAATAATAATAATAATTATTATAATAATCAGTCTTTTTTATTTATTTTTTTTAAATGAATGTATTTGTGTACGTGTGTGGGGGGGGATTTATAATTTCTGTTTTGAATTGTTTAAAATATTTTCAAAGAATAATTTTCTTTTGTTTGTTATATTTTCCAGAATTGGAGGCTTTGGTGAGTTTTTGGGTGATAGCAGCCCTCTTGAACAAATCATTTGCAAACTTAACACCTATACCCACACATGTTTGTATGTGCATATAAACACTTAACGCCCGTGCGCATACACATAAATTATACACACACAAATTTATATATATATATATATATATATATATATATATATATATATCTGTTAGCATTTTGTGAGACAGAAGTATGTGTAATTATGACGGTAAACCTGGTAGGAATACTTTCAAATATATATATATATATATATATATATATATATATATATATATATATACACACACATATATTGTACACTACTTGACACACTTGCTTGAGTGTGAATTGTATGTTTACTCACCATAAATACAGGTGTGCACAACATATATATCATAAAAAATAAAAGATGAGAAAGAGAGAGAAATCGTCTGTGTCAGTGTATGCGCACGTGAGTATGTGTTATATACAACTATACGAGTATAATCAGTATTCACTCGTTCATGTGTGTACATGGACAGCTAGAAAACAAAACAAAATGGGGGTGGAAAAAAAAATAAAAGATAAAACAAAAAAATAGAATTTCAAAACAGACACTAATGGGGTGTCATAATCAATGCTTCATCCATTAGTTCATTGTCAATGGAGCATGAGGATGCAGAGGTGGAATTCGAATGTGTGTTCATGTCCCTCATACCTGGAGGTGTGAGGGGTGGAGATGTTTTGGGCCTTGGCGATGGCGTGGGGGACCTACTAGGAAATTTATGTTTACTATCATGTGAAGTGAAAAGGTCTGCCTTTGATGAAACCATGACAGGAGCAGGAGAATGTTTCCGTGGCTGCTGAGGTGGTGGTGGTGGTGGTGGTGGTGGTGGTTGCTGCTGCTGTTGTGATTGTTGTGAACTTTTGGGTGACGACATACAGTCAATAACTAACCCATTCTCAGTGCTACTGGCATCACTGCCAGGACTAACAGGGTTCACTGAAGAAGTCCGCAACTTCCGTTTCACAACTGTTCCTTCTTGACCCTCATCGAAATCATTCTGTTTTTCAAAGTCACCTGAGGAGTTGGACAGGTCCTCTATTTTGTCCTCCTCATCAGTTTGCCTTGAGAGGACTCGCGGCTCATAGAGCATTTTTGAGAAGTCGCTTTCACCATTAAACTTGGTGGTGTCACCTGAATGTGAGTGGCTCTTCATTCTTCTAATAGAGCCATGGAGTTTGGTCCCCGAATTGTCAGTCCGCACAGAAGTACTGCTGTCTAGATCACGACAATTGTTCAGTACCATGTGTAGGAGCTCACGGTCGGCACTATTGTTGGAATTGTCGGAACAAGTCTTGTCAGAGGACGACTGCTTGGGTGCACCATTGCCACTGCTCAGTGGTTTTTCAGAGCACCATCCAGGTTCTTCCTCGACAGAGTCCAACCTGTTCCAGGATTTGGAGCTGGTTTCTGATATATACCTACCTTTATTTTCTACCTCCAGGTTTTCTGAGGACTTGGAGGAATCACGAGAATATTCCCAGTCACTTGAAAGCTTAGTTTGAAGATTCCGAGGGTCGTGACTGTTGTCATTGAGTTTGACTGATGGATTTAATTCGTGGGGTGACTCTATTCGCCGTTCTTCAAATTCATTCTTCCGCGATACTTTTATGCTGTCTGTTAGAAATGAAGACTGACTGCGGCCAGGGCTTGACAGCTCCAAGACATCTTGAGAGTAGCGTCCATTCTCTCTTGACAGTCCCTTTGAAGTGGAAGACATAGCTGCGGATCGAGACTCCCTGTGCGATTTGCTTGAACTATGTTTGCTACTGCTGCCACTACTACTGCTCTTACTTTCAGAAGTTTCCAGCTTCGATGACAAGTGGCTCTCACGTTTTGAGCTACTCCTATGCTCTTTTTTCTCAGCAGAATCCTGACGGCCCTCGGCCAACAAAAGTGGAGGCTCTCTGTTTGCCATTTTGTTGCTGGAACTATTGTTACCGTCACCATTGCCACCAGAAATGGTTCCTCCATTGGCACCAATGCTGCTACTTGTTTCAGTCAAGGTTGACAAAGCGGATGTCACCATGGATAGGCTGCTACCTTTGTAAGACAAAAGCGGCTTAGACAACGATGCCTCCTCCTCATCATCATCATCTTCCTCCTCCTCGTCTTCTTCCTCACCAAGTGTGGACGTGTCCTTGGACATTGATTTCGCAGTAATCATACCATCAATGGCACTGCTGACATGTACATTTGTTGTGCTTGTTTTGGTGAGTTTATCAATGACTGCTGATAAAGAACCCTTACGCGAACGGATGGCCGCTTTTGTTTTACTACTGTTGCTGTTCCCACCACTGTTTGTAGTACTATTACTACTACTGCTGGGTATAGTAGTGGTAGCAGTGGTAGTGATGGTTGTACTACTGCTGCCACCATTCTTGCTACTAGTACTACTACTACTGCTGGCAGTGTTAGTGGGGGTGTTGCTTGTTGCATTATTACTGTTATTGTTGTTATCTTTACTGCAAGAGTTATTACTGTTATTGTTGCTACTTGAGGTTGTAGCATTATTATTATTATTATGGTTTTTGCTGCTGCTGCTGCTTATGCTGCTGCTGCTGCTTCCAGTAGTACTGCAACTGTTACTACTCCCATTTCTGCTGTTGCCTGAGGTACTGTTATTATTACTGCTATTATTGCTAGCAGTTGTACTACTGCTGACCGTTGCACTGAGAGTGGAAGTGCTGGTCCCACTGCTGCTCGTCGTACTGGGGCTGCTGCTGGCTGTAGTGTTGCTACCTGATACACTTGCACTGATGATAGGTGTGACTGTAATTTTCGTTGTCAGGGAAGAGACAGTTGTTGCAATTGGAGTGACCGGAGATGTTGAAGGAGATGAGGACGAGGATGCCGATGATGTTGACAAGATGGTACTTGTGGCAACTGTTGTTGTGGTTGTCTTGTTACCTGAATGAGTAGCACTCGAATAAACTGATGGCGTTCGGACAGAGCTGACATTGACTGACGATCCAGAAGTAACTGGCATTACTAGTGGTTTTAACTTGACCGTTGGTGTTTTCGTGATTAGCTTCGAGTCTTCCTTATTCACCGTAATATTTTGTGAAGTGTGAGAGGATGAAGACAGTGAGCGAGGTGCTCGATGGCTTTTCTGTCCCCTCTCGGAGATCTCCTTGCTGTTGGTGGTACCGCTGCAGTGGCTACTGCTCAGATAACTGCTGCTAAATTTTTCCACCTGGTCATACTTCGTATTCTTTTCAGATGAGGCGGACAATTCATATTTCGAACTGGAGCCCTTCTCGCTTGTCCGTTTTGAGGATTCCGATATGTTTGATACCTTCTTATCTAATTTCAGAAAACTTTTTGTAATCTTCAGTTTAGGCATGGGTTTCGAATCGGACGAAGATTCGACCTGTGTGGATCTGTACACAGCACCCTGTACCATTCCTGAATAGTCATCGTTCTTCTCTTGTTTCCGTTTTTTCCGTTCTTTCTTACTCTCTTCTTTTTCTTTTCGACGCTTGCCAGAAATCTCGCTGTTTGAGCTGCCATGCTTTGACTCTTTCTTTTTAGACTTTTCACTCTTTCCCTCGCTGCTGTGGTAATCCTTGCTACGAGAGTTCACCGAATGCTTTTGATGAGGGGAACTTATTTTGATGGTTGTCCCAAAACTGTCATTCGGAGATGGCTTTGAATCAACACGACTTTTGGGATTGGGAATCTCAAAATTCCAGTTATCTGTCTTTTTTGACTCGTTCGTATACAGGCGAATTTTCATTACCTTACTTCCACCACTACTGCCCTCCCCTTTTCCCTCTTCCTTCACAGCCAAAATTTTTGTCTCACCTTCCAGCATGCTTTTGTGCCTGTTAGATTCACTTGATGGCTTAACAATATTTCGCTCCTCCTTGACGTCCTCACTGAGTTTTTCCAGGATAGGAATGGGACGTGAATTTCCTGGTCCACTCTTGTCCAGGCTGGAGGAGTTACATGATGATGGCCAGTTGTTGATTGCTGGCCCAAATGCTATTTTATCACAATTATCAAGGAAAATTTCCATATCATCATTGCCTGAATAGACACTGTCAGGGTTCAGAAGTTCATTGCTAAAATCCAATGTCTCTCCGGTGAATGAGGCTACCTGCAACTCAGAGTTACTCCTGGACAGAGTTCCATTCTCTAAAAAATCCTCTGACAATTTTTGTGTCTTGTTGGTGAAATCATCAGGGTTGATTGGTTGACCAGAATCGTTAAGCAGGTCATCAAGGGAGGGAACCCCGTTTTTTGAAAGGGGTTCATTCATGCTGAGAGCAGTGTTGCTGCTACTACTACTACTACTACCCTCAGACTCTTTCTTGATGTTGATGTCAGGCTTTATGTCTTCTAGCATGCTTATATTCATCCCTTTGGAACTCAAAGAGGATGGCTCCAATTTAATGACAACATTGTTCAAGCTTGAGCTGGAAGATTTCTTTGAAGAGTCACGGGTCATTGGATAGTTTTCTGTTAGATCAATGGTGACAGCTGCAGCTGAAGAATTCTCTGGTGGAGTACTGATTGCACTCGACAATGACGGGCTGCTAGAATCAATCTCGATCAAGTGTTTGTCAGTCTCTTCAGCTAAGTCTGAAGTGTCTTCCACGTGTTTCTGTTTTGGACTTCGGCCAGTCATTTCAGTGGTACCCTTCCGTTTTTTGTTTTTCTTTGGTTTGGTCAAATTGACCATGCATGTTGTGGCAGTTGTGTGGTCATCCAGCAATTTGGACAACATGGGGCTGTTATGGATCTCTGCAGCAGCTGCTGTGTCTTGATCCAAAAGCGTGGCAAGAAGGGGGTTTCGGGCTACCTTCTCTGCTCGGATGCTATCTAACAGCTCAGGAGGAGCATTGGCCGGGTCAAGATAAGGTGGACTATTCTTGTAGTTTTCTGACCCACTGCGGTGGGGGTAGTTGAGTTGGCTGAGACTACGAGATGAAAAGCAATGGTCTGGGCCTGATAAAAGGCTGCTCATATGCCCAGAGTAACGATCCATTGAGTAAGCAGTATGAGACTCGGATAGTCCAGGACTTGTTTTCTTCAATTGTCCAAGCACTTTATTCATGATGGCACGCAATGATACTGGAATCGACATGCAACTGTCAAAGAAAAAAAAAGAAGAATATTACATTAATATAATCAAAGTAATGAAGGATGGAACATTAGGAGATAGTAAATGATGTTTCTACAAGACATACTAAGATTGTTATAAACAGGTAGGATTTGAGACAAAAATGCAGGTTGTCACACAATTCTCACATTTATTTTACAAATTTTTTATTCCATATAATAAAGTAACAAGTAATAACAATAGCATGACAACATTAGTTAATACTGCTGCTGCTATAGATATACATCTTTATGAAACTTACGTTGCCTGCTCTCAATGTGTGTGTGTCTGTGTGTGTATATATATATATTCACCGATTGAGCACTATGGAGAAAAGGGAATTTTTAATGACGGCTACTACTTTAATGCATTACTCTTCGTAAGAATTGAGCACTATGGCAGATGACATGGGATTTATATAGCACGTATATAATGTTAAAAATTCCCTTTCTCTGCCGTAAACTGATAGCCTAAGAGTAACAGTCTCTGGCTAATATCAAATCGGGTGAGTTTTGATCCCGGCTTGAAACAATTGGATATCTACGCACAGTGATGAGCTATATATATATATATATATATATATATATATATATATATATATATACGCACACATACATATACAAAATCCACAATGTTTTCAAGAAACCATGAAATGGCAGGCCTTGGTGCTTCTGTTATAAGCTAGCACTTTCCAAACCAGGATTATCATATGATAACATAAGATACGATAATTATTTTATGGCATATTTTAGGGTATTTTTTTAGGTTAGACTGTATTGCAGAGTATCTGGTTGAAACCAAAATTGTGGTGCCCATAAGAAAAAAAAATATAGTCATTTATTTCCAGCATATGGCAATTACCTATTTTCTCAGAGATCAAACCATATATAAAATATATAATTCTAGTCCTGACTCATGAGGAGACATATAAGGTATTGAGAGTGAAAGGATATGATTGTAATGGGCCAAAAACAAAGGTCATAGAAATGGCACTAATTTTGTTTTTTTTTATAAAGATTTGCCATAAATATAATAAAAATCTATAAGAATATCATTGATAACAGAATTCATAAGCCATGGAAGAAATTTCTGTGCTGTAATAAATGAAGGAAAGAGAGAGAGAGAGAGAGACAATAGCTAATGTGACCAGTTACTGAATATCAGCCAATTGGTGCAACCTTATTCCTGATTTCAATATAAATGACTTGCTTGCATAGTACCAAAATTATCAAAGCAAAAGTCATCTATAAAAGACAATGAAGTGAATAAAAAAATATCTAAATTCAATAATTAAAAAAACAAAAATGAGCTCTGAACAAATTTAACAATAGCAAAAGCAGTAAGTTGAATAAAAATAACTAGTATAATTGAAGTTCTCCTACCATAATATTACAGATTATGACTTATAGTCAAACTACAGAGTAAGATTTCATTAAATTATAATCATAGCCATGAGGGCACATGATAGAATATATTTACGATCTCAGTTAAAAGGTGATCTGATAAATATTATTAAAAACCTTATTAAAAAATAGCAACAGCATTAAGTAAAAGGAAACAATGCTAAAGAATTTTAGGAGAGGAGAGAAAATAAATGTTTCTCTTTTTTTCTGTCAGATTCATTGTAAATTAATTGTATAATGCATTGCAAAATATTATCATAAAGTCTACAAAATTATGATTAAGTATTTATTTTATTTGTTTGTTTAGCAGCATATCAACTCCTTATGGGTCATTCAATGCCAAAATTTAATTTTCTTGGGAGCATTAGTAATTTCTTTTACAAAAATGTATTGGTGGTATTTTTATACTTTTATAGTGTGTTGATCCCAGTTTGGGTTTAACTATTTGCCCCTAGCTGGGACCCTAACAGGTGCTACCACCCCAGGTGGACCTGGGAACAACAACAATTAAGAGGTGGTTTCATGCTCCTCAAAACTTCCCAATTGGAGGCCTTGCTGCAGAATGTAATTTATTGTCATACCCTGGACAAAATGTCTAAGTAAAGCAATCAGAATCTTATTACAAATATTATTAGTAGTAAAATAAATCAATGCAATTTTGTTGCTTTTTTATACGTACTTGTTGAACACTTTTGATGCATATTCATCAGAACAGAATGATTGCCCATCCACTGCTGTGCACACTCGGCATTTCAAGTTGGTGATGTCACTCATATCAAACTCAGCTGAAAATAACAAACAATATTTCTTTTTTTACAAGCCAGCTTAGCTTTTTAGATATTTACATTCTTAAAGAACAAATTAGTGTATATAGGGGTTAGACATTTTGGGTAGTTCAATCTCTAAACCAGGTAGTGAAATACTGGCTCAGCAGGAACAAACAATAAATGATATTGAAGGAATAAAATAACATTATAATCAACAGATCAGACGAATAAGGGATACCTTGATGAAGGCAATTACTATAATAAATGTTGAATTGTATTCCAAAGAATTAAAATTGAAATTCAAATAAGGAATTCTCATGTGATACAGATTTCTTTTGTTTTTCTTTTAGAAAAATACTGATTCAAAGAATTCCACAAAAGCTTACAAAACTAATCAATTAGTTATTAACCATTTCTCCTTACAAAACTGGGAACACTTGTGATAGTAAAAACAATTTATGTGGTTTAAGTGGCATCACAAACAATTATAATTTATGCAACAGCAGAGAAATGAAAATTTTCTATGACACTATGTTAATTTCTAAATCCTGTGAATGACCACCACAGCTGTTTAAAACCCTTGTTTTTGTCATATAGGAAAATCCAACATGGCGCGTAAACGAAATATGCGGCAAAAAATCTCATTCGTCAGTAACATTTTAAACACCTCATAGAATGTAAAGTTCTTAAAGAAAACCTATGTCAAAGTGTTTTCCTGAATCCTTGATGACTTGGCTGTCCGAAAATGATAATATCAAGATGAAATAATGGAAACTGACCGTGAAAAAAATACAATTATGCGCAACAGGTTTTCGATCAATTAGTAAACTTCTGGACCTTTTAGGGCGACCTTATAGGATCCAGACGGCTATTTTTTGCACATGGAATTATTCACTGGTAATTAATCTTCGATTTGGCTGTGGAAAATGTCACTCGGCGGTTAGCATTAAGAAATTATGCACAATTTTCTGAGAAAAATCCCCTTTTTTTAATGAAAAAATATTCATTTTCGCTTCAAAATAACATCATTCAAAATTCATTCCTTTCTCTTTCATTTGGCATGAACATCATTGAATAAAAAGAAAGGCTAAATGGACCGGCGATGGGAAATACAAAAGATATGCGGCGAAAAAAAAACAATGTTGTCTGCTAAGTGTTGTTGTCATCACCCGGGTCACGGGGTGTTAAAAACAAAACAAAACTTATCAAGCCATTGTTCAAACATAGGTTATATGAAGCCCTAGTAATTGTGAACCCTTTTTTATTCACCCTTTGCTTTTATCTGGGAGTGGTGGGTTTTATTACAACTTGTTCTAAGGTTTGCCGTCCGTTTATTGCTTGCTGGCTGGCTGGCTGGCTGGCTGGCTGGCTGGCCTTTGACCTAGACGTCAAAGTCAATTAGGTTTATTTTCCCTTATCACTATTTTTAGGAAAAAAAAAAAAAACTTTTGGTTTCTGGTGGTTAGGAATTGCAGATAAATCTCTTGCCTTTTACTAAAGATTTCCGTGGCTGGGTGTCAATTTTTTTTTAACCCTTGGCGGTCATAAATTGAAAATTAACAATGGATTCTATTGCATTTTGTTCACCTAGGAATGTTGATTTCCTTCAAAACTCTCAATTTTATGCCTGAAATAGTTTGATTATGATCTAGGCTTTCTGATTTTCAAAAAAAAAAAAAAAAAAAAATTAATTTCCCATTAATAGGGAAATATTTGTTTAGAACAAGAAAAAAATGCAAAATTTTCACTATTTTTTTCACATTTTACCCACTGAAAAATTTTTTTGAGTCATTTACACCAGCTAATTTTACTTTTAAATGAAAGAATATATCTTTTGCTTTCAGAAAATACCTAGTTTCATGGGGTTCAGATCAAAAGTTTCCTTGATATTCGTTTAGGTGATGATAAAACAGTCATTTTTCAATATTTTACCCCTAAAAAGTATGAAAACCCATATTTTGAGAGAAAATAAGCTGTGACAAAATGACTTTTGCTATTTTTGTGATGATTTTCACTTGGGAAAGAAAATTTTTACCATAGGAAACCTGAATTGACTTTATTTAAGTTCAGTGGGTCTGTAGGAAACCTCAAACAGCTGTGCCACCTGGTAATAAGGTTAAGCTAATTCCAGAACAACACACACACGCACACATATATATATCTGTATATATATATATATATATAAGTAAAACAATATTAATATGTTACTGCTTTCTGCAGCTTAGTTTCATGTGGTCACTTAAATGTTGATGGGATATATTTTTTATATTTTACATTGAGTAGTCTTATTGTATCCCTATTTGCATTTATATATATATATATATATATATATATATATATATATATATATATATATATATATATATATATGTGTGTAAATATAAAATATCATAAATTGAGCATTGCTGCTAATAAAATAGTGCTCCATGTATAATAACAGAGCAATAATTTATAATAACAAATACATATTTTTTTCTTCCTCAACTCTAGGTAGTAAAAAAAAAAATATATATATATATATATATATATATATATATATATATATATGTATTGGATAACGATATATAATTTTTTTGTATGTCAAGAACAATTTCAGGGAGTAAAGAAGGTACTTTTTTCAATTTGTCATACTTTTTTCCCCAAAATGTTGTCGATATCCCCTGAGGAATGGACAGAGTGAATGTTGGAGGGTCCATCTATGAAAGGTTAGAGTTGAGATGCTGAAGGTAACACCAATCAGCTAAGTGATAAATTTTATATTTGTATCAATTATAAAATTATATATATATATATATATATATATATAAAAAAAAAATATATGGAAAAAAACAAACAAAAATCCATAAAACAGCATATGCAATTATTTTTTTTTTCCGTATATTTTTTCTTCATACTGTCGGATCTATATCCATATATTTGCTTATATATATATATATATGTATATATGAAAACGTAGTAAAAATTTGTTTCCATGTCTACATCTGGAGATAAATTCTGATCGTTTATTTATATGTCAACCACATCACATCCCAAAAGCGGTGTCTCTTGAGCCAAAATTATCTCCCTCTCCTTGCATAATAAATATTTGAAAGACCCTGGCAGGCTGAGAAAATGCGTTCAAGGGAGGTAAGCCAGAATCTAAACAGAAATAATCATTACCCAGAATTCCATTGTGAGTGTATTATTAAAAGCTGTTCTTTGCGGAGCAAAAAAAAAAAAATGATAACAGTAATTCAATATTAAGAGAGATTTTTTAAATCACCTGTAACCATAGAGTCTTGTAATGGATGTTCAAATGATACATTGACTTGGTGCAAAGACAAGGCAGACATCTCAAACACAAGTGCATTTGTTGGATCTAGAAAAAAAAGAAAGACAAACAAGTCAGTCAGTCGTGGTATTAAATGGATAAGAAATCATTTAAAAACTCAAAGTTAATAATTCAAAAAGAAATTACAAGGGAAATCAAGATTAGCTGTAAATAGAATTAATAAGAAAGGCTATGAGAATCTTAAAGTCAAGTACCATTATTTTGGTTTTGGTAGAGAACATGGATGGTACTAGTAGCATTAATAGTTATCAGTTTAAAAATTGAAACTTCAGCCTAGACTATTGCATTCACTTTCACAGTAATGCCTTTGGGGAAAAGTGTGAATCTATTTATGCTCTCCTTAGCTTTTAAAAGAACAACTCCAAATTCAAAACTATAGTAAAGGCAATGGAAAACTGCTCCACAAACTTTACAAGAAGTCATGATAATTCACAGATAAAAAAGAGGAATCTGTAGTGAGACATAATAGACTATGTTCTGGATGAACATGATACGTAAAAAATATAGAAATTAGAGGGAATGATTTAAATTTAAATATAGTATAGCTAACTAACTGCTATGTGATCTAAGTTTTTATAGTTTAAAAATTTTAAGCAAAAATTATAAGAAAACAATACTTGAAAAATAAAAAAATTAGATTTCACTTCTTTTTTTTTTCTTTTTTACAGGAACAGACTGGTCAAATATTTTAGTGATATAGATAAAATATTAAAATATAAAAACGTATATGTTTTAATATTTTTTAACATTTCTTCAACTTTGTAAAGAGTTGCAAAAACCTATGCTAGGCTAAATAAAAATGACTCCCAAAATCCTTAACAAAGTTACCTTGTTTAGCATTTGGTCTGATGCAACTGCTGAACACTGTATTAAAAAGCATTTGTTGGCGTAGGTACACAAGGATCTTAGGAAGGTTAGTAGGGTGTGTAAAGGGTATCTTTGTGATGAGAACACCCTCCTCCTCCATCCAACCATGGTGGCCGCCAAGAAAGTAGACATGCTGTTGGTCTGGTAATGTCTGCAAATAAAAAAAACATCACAAACTGTTTAAGGCAGGAGCAAATTAGTTGAGTTGACAGAAATAAGGAGAGAGTTAAACAAACAGATATAAATAAAACGGATGTTGAAAAAAAAGACAAAGAACTAATGAACAAGAAAAGTCAAAGAAAAGAAATTTTTTAAGATTATACTTTGATTTATTATCAATGTTTTTAGGTTACCATTCTTATTTTCAGCCTTTTTGGAAGAGGTATTTGGTTTCTTCTAACTCACAGATGCATCCTTCTACTTAATAGTATATTTTTTAAAATATTGATAAAACATTGTTTTATAAAACATTGTCATAGTAACTTGAAACAAAATTTAAATTCTAATCTAATAATTATTTTAGAGTCAATAAGAAAAGCTTCTAAATTGAACTGACAAAATCTGGATAAGTTGCTCTAGTTTGAAAAGAAATACATTTCTTAGATTTATGGACCAATCAAAATGAAAAAAGTAATGCTCTTCAGTAATGACAGATGACAACAAGGAATACTCTCTTCATAAAATTGTAAAGAGTTTGGAAGAATGGACTGTCAGTACCAGGTTAATTGCTTTGAAACTCATTTAAAGAGTCTGTGATTACTAATGGAATCAGAACTTAGGTACGAAAATGTTCTTTAATGTAAATGAGATGAAATTTCTTAAGAAAATATATCTTATCCCAAAGTTTCCGATGAAATAGTTTATAAATGCTGTTATTAATTTCCTTGCTTCCAAACCATTTACAGGTTTGGTTTGGTTAGATTTTGTTTAATGTTGAGTCAACCTCTGGGTCATTTTATGCAATCCAGATGAAGATATATATTACATATATAAATTTCTTTTTTCATTTTCCAATAGGGGCTCAGTTTGGTAGCTACAATTCATTTTAAATAGATTGTTTAATCTGTCAATTTGAAACATTCATATAGTATATAAAAACTAACTGAAATTGTCTGCATGTAAATAATGAAATATACTTGCTGGCATTCTGACAAGAAATTTCATCGAGCAACACGGAAACCATCAAAAGAACTTACTACATATAATTCTTTCTTATTAACCAATTGTCCTTTGGAGACAGTTTCCACTAATAAAGCCAACAACTTTTTACCCTCACATAATTTGGGAACATCAATATCTGTAATGAGAGAGAAAAAAAGAAAAGAAAGGCAATCAATGAATGAGGAAAAAAAAGACAAATTAGAAAATATATATAAATAAATAATTTCAGCTGATAATATTTTTAAGTTGAAAAAAATTAGAGGGACCCTAGATTTTTATAACTGACATTACATTGATCTATCCCTTTAACTGAAAATGAAACTATTTTTTAAAAAAAATTCCAAGGCTCCAAGCCTCATTTTGGTATTTGTTTTCAGCATTCTTACTAACAACTTAGAAATGTTGGAAATGTTTAATTTTGCAGTGAGATGACATATTTTTTGTTCATTTTCACACAAATGGAACTGACAAAAGGAGTAATCAACTGTCTAGCAGGATTTGAACACTATACTACAGATCCTAAGCTTTACAACAGAGAACAATTTTAAGAGCAAGGATCTTCTTGCATCTTCTTAAATAAAAGTAGACTAAAGACGAGGAAATTGCCTGCTTCGTATATGATTTTTGTGAAATATATATGAAGCTATAAGGGAAATTAGAAAGCCTTGATTTCAATTGTGTTGTGGTCTTTTAGGTTTGGTTTGCCAGCATATCAAAACCTTGTGGATCATTTAATGCAGAAAATTGGATATTTATTTGATATTTTGGGAAATTTTAGGTTTTATTATCCATGAAGTATAGTTAGGTACCTCCACGAGATCGCTAAAAAAAGAGCATAGCATGATGAAAAAGACGCCAAACTTGACGAAAACAAAATTTTATCGTCTAAATGTTTGTTATTATTAAGAGGAAAGGTCAAAGTATTTTGGGGGTATTTTTTTCCATTTTTAATCGTTCTAGCACGTCCAAAATTTTCGTTAAAAATCTAGTTTTTTTTTGAGTCAGCAAAATTGACCATTTTTTTTCCATTTTAAAAAAAATGGAAATCTGACTTTGAAATTTTTTAAATATCAATTATCATTTTTTCAAAACTTATTTTAAGAAAATCAGAAATTATAATGTTTATTTAAAATATTTTGAACCAAACTTAACTTAGCTTTTTGTGCCAAAAAAGATGTAATTTGAAAATAAAACAAAAGCAGGTCATAAACTTTCGCGTCTCTTGACATGTGATGAATGATATATTTATGAATTCCATGAGGCTAATTTGTTCTACGGAAGGAGAAAAGTGAAATAATTTACATTTACGTGAACAAATTATTTACCCCGTTATTTTTAACGAAAACTTTCAGTGGTCTAAATATTTTTTTTTTTTTTGTACTTAGCTTTCACCTTTACGTTTATGATGCTTTATGGGAAATATATTGTAAAGAAATTAAAATAAAACTGTTAAGAGTGACATTAAATTTCATATTTCTTAAGAAAGGTATCTAATTAATTTATAGGTACCTTTCTTATGAAATTTTATCAGAATTGTACATAAAATACTATAATTTTATGTACATTTATTACATTCTACTGTTATTTGTATTTGCATTCATTTTATTATTAATTTTGATATTTCATTTATGGAAAAATCTCATAACTGAGATTAATATAAAAATAAGATCATATAAATTTCATAAGATGATACTGATACTTGTAGGTACCCTTCTCAGTTGAAATTGAAAAATCAAATTAACTTCTCCACACGTGTTTCGCAAAAGTAAAGGCCTTAACAGCGGAGAACAATGCTTAACTCAAATAACGCAACTTAATTATATTCTGGTTGGTCTTCCGTATTTTATAATTACAGCTTGATTATAAGCACAAAATTACATTTCTTAATTACTGGGTATCTTCTGATTAGTCAAAATGATACAATTTACAACGCTAAAAAAAAGATCTATCTTATAGGACACTTATGAAAGCCGATGCTTTTAACTAATTTTATAATATTTTAACAACTTAAATGTAAAATCTATTATAATTAATGAAATAACAAATAATTGTATTAAAATTCATTTTTCATCTAAAAAATTCTTTTGCTTTCAGAAAATATTGTCCATATTCATAAAAACAACTAAAAGCAAATAAAAGCATTTGAAATTAAATAATATATTTGTTTTATTGAGTTTTGTATGTTACAATTCAGAGCTGATTTTCAGGTACTGCGTATCCAATTAAAAACAAACAAACAAAAAACATGATTTGCATTTATCAAAGCCCTGTGCTTTTAATTATTGTAATCACTAAAACCGATGCGATCGAATTTCTAGCGTTTTCATAAAATTAGTTAGGGGGGGTAATAAATATTTAAAAAAATATTTCTACCATGACTTTCATAAAAAAAAACACATTTATAATAATTTCGATCATCTGTGAATAGTTTCTGAAAGTTTCATTAACATCCGATAATTATTTCTATTTTTGCACGATTTTTCAAATTAATGTGTGTCATACCAAAAAAAAACGCTAAAAATTGTCTATGTTATTTACTAGTTCCGCTGATACAAATAGAAAAAGGTTTTTTTAATCAAAATTTAGAATGTTCTAAAAAGAAGGAAAATTTTTTAAAAATAATTAAAAAAAAACTTTGGTCTTTCCTCTTAATAATAACATAAGCATTTAGACAATAAAATTTAGTTTTCGGCAAGTTTGGCATCTTTTTCATCAAGCTATGCTCTTTTTTTTAGCGATTTCGTGGAGGTACCTAAGTATAGTTGAAAAATGGCTGTATAGTTTGTGTATAGGTGAAGTTGTCTGGATTAAATTTTAGTGTATAATTTAGTTTTTCTCAAGTAGGTCAAAATGGTTTTTGCATTTATGCTTTTGAAAGTTCCTTAAGGCTATTCACCTTATAAAGGTATTTTTAGAAAGAATGAATGTATGATGTTGTTATGACCAATTCTTATTCTTGCTAAAACTAGTTCTTCTCTTCAGGAAAAACTGGCATTATGGTGTCTTATTCCAAGTAGAGATTTGATTTTTCTACAATTTATTATTTGAGTGAGTATTCCATAACATTAGCCACTTATTTAAGATATATGTATCAATAGCTGTTTTGAAATCTGCTTGTAGGACTTTTGTTTTAGTGATTCTTTAGCTGTCATATCTGCCTTTCCATTTCCTTAGCTGCCTATATGGTTAGAGATCCAGCAGAAAATGATGTGTTTTTGATTACGAAGTCTATTGATTTTGTTTAAAATTTTGGTTTTCAAAGGATTGGTCAGATTTTTATACATCAATGATGTAAGTAGAGATAGGGAGTTCAAGAATATAATGAATCTGACTCACAATCTGTGATAATATCCAAAGCTAAATCCATTGCCAAAGCTTCTGCACTAAAAATTGAGGATTTGTCAGTTAGGTAGGTCTTTTAGGAGAATCAATGTAAGAATAATTTCCATATAAAGAATTAGATTTTATTATTGTTTCCTAATTAGAAAAAGAAAAGGAATCAGTCTTCTATCAAAATAAATAGTGGATTGTATCATCTCAGCCCACAAGTAATTTGTTTATAATAAACTGAATTATATTTTTGCTAATCCCTGTTGCAGACGCCTACTCAGGCAAATTTGTGTTTATTCAACACCCACAGAGCCCACCTATGGTTTATACTGCAACTATGCTGAGTGGACCTTAGTTACAGTTTCTGGGACAGAGTGCATTATCTAGCATGATCAACAGTCTGAACAAGGTCAGCATGCTAAAACCCTCAGTCATGATGACTTGCGAATTTGTGCTAGCGCAATTATCGATGGTTTCCAAAGAGTTCCATCTATTCAATTTCACTTACAAGGCTTGAAACTTGTGGTATGGTTTTCAGGCACTTTCCAACGGTACCACATGCTAGGATCACCTAACACACACCAACAACATCAAGCAGTTATCTTTCTGACAAATTGATCATGGTGAGATTTGAACTTGGATCTCATGGTCAACAAAGCGTATGGTCTAACCACTTGGCAATGTACCTAAATGATAACATGCTAATATGTGTATGTACAGTTTTAAATTAATAACTTGGTTACTCACTTGACTTTCTGAAGGTTTGTGCATGTTTGTGTGAGAGAGGGAGGAAATTTTCTGTTTGTCATTATTTGGGTAGAGATGTTTTAAAGTCATTTATTTGTTCATAAACACAAGATCTGAATTAAATCTAATGCTTATGACATTTTCTTAAACTGAAATTTAACAAAAGAAATCAAAAAAACTTCTAATACCTATTTTAGTGTAATAAAGGATGAATGTCTGGATGCAACTGAATGATTAACATCACATTCAGTTGTTTATGACAAACATAAGCAATAACTGAAAGGGAGATTTATTTCATTGACTCAATTATTTATCCACAATAACTGCTAGTTAAAATTAAATTAAACATTTATATATTTAGAAAAAAATTAGTATCAAGCTTGTTGAAGACTTAACCTTTAGCACTCTGCATTCATCAATATTACTTCCCTTTTCCCTGCATTCTTTTTCAAGGCCTCACAATTGTAGTATCCTTATTGTTAATTTCAATGATACTTGTTTTCTGTTGCCATAGAAGGATATGACAACACAACTATGAAGTTCAAATACGCTATTATTCAGGTTAATGATGTTGGAAGTTTGATCATAAAAACTTTGATTCTTTATTCTCTTGTTGGAGAAGATGCAGTAAAAGTGTTCCGGTTGTATTCAACTGCCCCAATACTTACTTGTGATGGACTCAATCTTCTTGAGCAATGAGGTAAGTACAGAGAGTGGTGTGGGTAGAGTGAGCACAAAACAGGCAGGAAGCATACAACTGTTCATGTTGCTTAAACCAGAGAATGAAGGCAAGCTAGAAAAATACAAATCAGAAAAATAAATTTAACATTGATATTCATTATACAAGAGATAGTTGCAAGAATAAGGTACCATTAAAAGCAGCAGAACAAATATTTGATATTGAATGTTACCAAACAAAGTCCTCATTCTTGCATGTATAATTGATGGTTTGTCCGATTTGTTTTTTATGTTTTATCAACCTTTTGTGTGTTATTTAAAGTAAAAACATTTTTGGATTGTAAGAATAATTCTTTTCTTGTGAGTGAATGTTGCATTAACATTTTTTGAGAATATTCTTTCCAGATACAAATTCTACTATTTAACCCATAACTAGGAGAAGAGATGGATCCTTATCTTTTCTAAAGCTTACAGTAATATCTTACAATCACCAAAGTAAAGTAACATCAAGTCTTGACAGTACATATATAGGTGACTGCTTGGGAACACCAGGTGCTGTAAGCTTGGATGTACGGGTGGTGTAATGGATAACGGCTCGGAATGAGAAATAGAAGTTAAGCAACGTCGAACCTGGACAATACCTAGATGGGTGAGCGCATGGGAACACCAGATGCTGTAAGCTTGGATGTACGGGTGGTGTAATGGATAACGGCTCGGAATGAGAAATAGAAGTTAAGCAACGTCGAACCTGGACAATACCTAGATGGGTGAGCGCATGGGAACACCAGGTGCTGTAAGCTTGGATGTACGGGTGGTGTAATGGATAACGGCTTGGAATTGGAAATTGGAGAGCTGAGTTTCATTTCCAGTTGGGTTTGTTATATTCACTTATTGCACAAATATTCTTGGAAAAGGTATGAATCCACTGCTTCTCTCCCCAGCTATGGAATAATTAGTAGGACGTGTATGAGGAAAATCGTTATTATTTTAAAAAAAAATTGTTACATTCTAAAAATATTTACTGGCTTTAAATAACCTGTAATAAAAAACAATTAATCAGACATTTTCCAAAGGTATTTTCACATAAGTGAATGTAACGAAAATGATTGGAATTCGAACACAGCTCTCCAATTTCTCATTCATTACACGACCTGCACATCCACAGCTTTGCATAGAGTTAATTTTATCTCTAAAACTGATATTTACAAATTAAACAATGAAGGATCGACTTGGCAAAAGAAAGTTATGCCTGTCCCTCTGTAAATAATCAAAATTAAATCTTATATTTTCAATCATTGCATAATTTTTTTTTTTTATTAAAAACAATATATATAAAATAAACATTATTCGCTTGCAAAATGTAGAAATGGTTAAAGAAAATTTGAAATTGGTAGAATGAAAACCAAATTCCTTTTCCCAGAGTTCACAGGTATTACCAAAATGACCTTTCTTATTTCAAAGTTTTAAGTTGGTTTTAAATCTTTCACTGAAATTGGTTATTTAAACAAGAAATGAAACAGATAATTAAATATGAACATACTGATATTGCTCAAACAAATTATATCTATCGCTCTCTCTCTCTATCTATCTATATATATCTATCTATATCTATATATATATATATATATATATATATATACATACATACACACACACACACACAGAAGATGCGATGGGTAATTTGTCACCATTTTATATTTTTAATTTCACACATGTGCATTGCTTGTTTTTGATTTTGTCAACTGCAGAGTATAGTATGGTCAGTTGGGCACTATCTGTGAGGAAAAGACTAACATGTTACAACTCTGCCAGAAATTTGGAAACAGCATACTGTATGTACTATTTGGCATTTGTGCCAGAAGCTCCAATATGAACATTTCAGAGTTTTGGGGTGCCAATCTGAGGACAGTGCAGAGGATTAGGAAAGTGTTGGAGGAGTCTAACAGAGATTATGAAGGTACAGCATCTTGGAAAACTTACTTTGATCATTTTGATAAGAACTTCCAAATTTGTTGGTGGCGGCCTCAGATTCAACATGGAAGCCTACATTAAATGCCTTGAGGAGATAGTGCTGCCTTGGGTCAAGAGAGAGGCTGCTGGAAAACCCTATTTTCTGGCAATAGGACTCTGCACCATTCCAAACAAGCAGGAGAATTCAGTCATATCACCCTTTACATCTGCAACCCCCTTGATTATTATGTGTGGGGAATAGTTGAGTGAGAGTCTAACAAAACTCCTGGCAATTTTATTTAATAAATTTACTCTCTAGTATTTCAAGATATTTTTGTGTAATTTTGGTAACTACACCCTTGAGCAAATTAATTGAAACCACCGCTTTAGTTTCCTTTCACCATACGGTCAGTTTTAGACCCACTGGAGTGACAGGGTGCAATCAATTTCTATTTTTTCCCCAGATTAGGTCATTTGCAGTGGTGTGCAGTAATATGACAAAGTAAATAGTAAAGTGACAAAGTGGAGGTAGGCTCAATTAAAAGGAAATGTATATAATTATCTTAAAAATTGAAATAATTTGTAATGAATGCTATTAAGAAAGTAAGTGAAGCATAAAACTCATGTGTCTTTAAATTGAAATGTTTCAAGCCAGCCTGAAATTTGGCTTGTCAATATTTGCAAATTAAACAAATATATTATAATGTGCACCTCTCATATTGTCTTATGTATAATATGACCCCATATTTCTGAAGTTAAAAACGGAATAAAATACATCCTTGAGTATAATATGACCCTGTAGTGCAGGCATCCCTATGTAAATTTTTAAGAAATGTTGTAACATGTTATCCCTTAAAATCTCAATGTTGCATATATATATATATTTCACTAAAATATTTAATTTTTCATGGTATTAAAGAATAAAAATGAAGTGGATGTTTGGCTATTGTGTGTTTCTTCACTTAATTTCTATTTCAAAACTTATTTTTAAATTTTCAGGGAAAGGTGCTTTGTTGCAACATTAATGTTATGAGAACATGACAGATCTTGCGTATTCCCTTTATTAAGTTTTTAAAACAATTTTGGTGAATTTCTCGTCTTTGAGACAAAAAATGTTCAATTATAATGATTCCTAAAGAACAAATATTGTTGACATATCAAAAAACTTTTTTAAGTAATTGTTATTAACACCTTTGTGTTTTATTATCTACTGTGCTGAATGTATTTGTAATCTTGTTTAAAATAAGGTTTTTTTAAAGTGGAGGAAAAAATTTCTGAAAATGTACTTGTGTATAATACAACCACACTTTTTTGCCTTTAATTTCTCATATGATACACAAAAAATATGATAATTTGGCCAGCACTTGGGTTTGAAAAGCATTGAGTCTGTAAAGACATTTACACCATATTTTATACTAATAAAACAATTCTTGAAATGTGATTGTAGCTCAAGTCAAACCCTAATTCCTTTACCTTTTGCCTTCCTGACTTTTGATGACTGACATCAAGGGCATAGTTTGAAGTCTGTTAAGGGAACTATGTTCTATGGAGATAGTGACACTGTGGCCCAGCTGGTGTTCAGTGATAGCTGAAATTAACAACAATGAACATAAAAATGAGGAACTATTAAAAAAAGAATAAAAAAAGATATATTTAATAATCATTTAGTAATAATCACAAGAATGAGTTTGTTTTCATTTACAATATTGTTCTTAAATATTAGAATCATCATAAAAATTCTTCAGAAGAAACAGATTTATAAAATTACAATTATGAAAGAAAATTACAATTATTAAATTAAAAACTTAATTAAATCTAATAAAGTAAATATAAAATATAATACTAAATCAGGATGACTTGTTTTTAGATTTTAAAAATGATTTGATGAAAGTAACTGCTGTGGAAATTTACAATCATTCATAAGCTATTTGTAAAGAAAAGAGATGGATTTATTTGTTTATTAATGCAAAAGATTTTTATTACTTAAATGTTAGTTTTTTAGTGTTGGATTAATAAATAAACAAATTCATCCCCATTGTTACAAATTGTCTTTGTTTATGTTAGGATATGAAACTGAGCAGATATGTCTATTTTGAAAGTCAGAGAAAAATCTTAAAAGCACTTTTCAAGTTTGCTTGCTCATCAACACACTTTGTAGCTGATTGGTCAATTATTTGATTTTTGCAAGAATTTCCAAATTAATGTGTTTTTCACTGCAAAAAAGATGCTAACATTTCTTATACTAATTTATGGTCCCTGCTGATGCAAGAAAAACAAAATTTTTAACTAAAATTACAAATGTTCTAAAAAGGATCAAAAAAATATAATTTGATAATCAAAAAATCCTTTGGTCTTTCCTTTTAATAATAGCAAGATTTTGAAAAGATTTTGTTTTTATTAAGTTTGGGGCATTTTTTCATCATGTATACTCAGTTTTTAGTGAATCTTTGGAGATTATATACATATAATAATATTTTTTATTTAAAAATATGATTCCTTCGTTACATAAGAGTTCTCACGTTTCAAAAACGAGAGCTGAAATCATCCAAATAATTATTAAAATTAAGTTGAATTGTGGTGTTTAGTCCTGTTTCATCTTCAAGTGAAAAAACACATTACAACCAAAAGCGAAGATCATAATCGAATAATGAAATTTGGATAAGCTGATTTGTTTAGAAAAATACTTTGACAAAAACCCTACTTCATGGTTTAATAATTTCTTTAATTTAATTTTATAAGACATCATGGTAAACAATAATTTTGAAGAAAATTTCTTTTGTTTCCTTTTTAACAGCAAAGAATAAATTCTTAGGATTTTTTACTCTTGAGCAGGCAACATACAACTGGCCATGTGTAAATATTTCTTTCTGGAGCCAAATTCCAACTTTTTGAAGTGTTTGGTCTTGTGATTTGTTTAAAGTTCTTGCAAATGCAGGGCGAACTGGAAACTGGATTCTTGTATATATAAAACTTAAAGCAAAGATATGCAAAAAGAAAATGTTGTATTTTTATTAAATAAAAAAGTATTTGTTATTTTAATCATTAAACTGTTTTTAAAATAGTGGTAGTATTTTATATGTTAAATAATAACACTTTTAATTTTTCAAAAAACATTAATGGAAATCTATTGTACTAAGCTACATACGCTAGTAAAACCAACTGTACTTTGTAGCCCCTAACCTGTTTATACTTCTCTCCAAAATTTAGTTTTAATTGGTCAATTTATGGCTATTTTAGAGGGTGTAATGATGGATAGACTAACAGAAGTCACAGAATTTTATATATAGATTTCTGAAATCCTATTATAATTGTGTTAGTTCTTCTCTTTGTTAATTCGCACAACTGTTATATCCTGTCAATAATGGACTATTATGTTTCGATTGTGTGGAAACCAGGGAAAAGTCACTACTTGGTTTCAGTGAGAAAATGAATGAAAGAAAGAAGCATGGGAAGACAGAAGTGATTAATGACTGTTTCAGTGAAATGGGAAAAGTTATCGATTTCAGATCTTTTCATTTTTAAAATAACAATCAACATTTATATTTATGATTGTTATTGCAATATTTCGTTAAAGTTGTTAAACCTAAATATTTAACTATGCAACATACAAATTTTTATGGATATTTTATTGTCGTGGAACTCGCCATGGGTTTATTCAGTCATTAACTTAAGAATTAAGATTCATCAGAATATTAAAATAGGAAAACTATGAAATTTCCTGGGTTAAAACTAATTATAATAAATCCATGTGTGAAGACAGTAACAAGAAAATTTTACATTGGCATTTCAACTTGCTTAGAAGGAGCAAAAGTCTCTAGTTTAAAATACTCTTCCAATATGAACAATAAATTATAGTTTTGTATTAACAGAAAACTGTTTTTGTTGCAAGCAATATAGAGAGCTCGCAATGAAACCAGATCATCCCAAACTATGTAAGTTTATGGTTATATACAAGGAATGTTTGGGTGTAACATTTTCTAAGAATCTGTGTCCTGCAACAAAAATTACCAGAAAGAAGAGAAAATAAATACAATGATAAGAATCAAGCAAAGAAACACTTTAGGTTGTCAACCAGTGAAATTGGGATTTGAATAACTTGCAATGTGAAACTTACCCTCGACAGTGAGTGGATGTTTGAACTTTGTTTTACGGTCAAGAAGGTCATAGGGAGATACAAAATAAATAAGTTTCATGGGACGGCCCCCTTTCCGAGGCAATAAAATACCCAGTGGAGACCGGAAGATTCTGTTAGAATCACCTGAAATAGCACTAGAAGAGAAAAGATAATTGGTTATGACTTGTTTAGCAAATGTTTGGAAACAGAAGAAAAACTGGATTTCAGTTTTCAGATATACATGTATAAATAAATAATGAACAGTTACCTATAGAGACAAAAACTGAAATAAATCTTAGGTCACTAAAGTATATGAAACATGGTTATATGAGCCTAGAGACAATTCTTGAAATATATATATGGTCTTATTTACACTATTTACATTGTTCGAACTGTTGTCCTCATCTTTATTGCAATATTCATGATGTTTCAGCAGTTGTATACCCCAGCCTACTTCAGGTGATATACACTGCAATTTGCAATTTCAAACCAATATCCAAAAAAGGCATGACACGTGGAATTAGAACAATCTACCTCTGTAGATTAAATAGAGGGTTTGGTTCAAAATTTCAAAATATATCACCTGAAGAAGGCCAGAGTGTACAACGGCTGAAACGTTGTGAATGTGGCAATAAAGATAAGGTCAACAGTTTGATAGGTATAAATAGTGTGTAAATAAATATTTCCTTTTGCTCTCTTTGGATTTCCAGGACTAAAATTTTTGAAGTTGTAGGTTTACTACTGGAAAATAATGCTATCTTCCAAATACCATTAATTTTTATCATATTAAAGTTCTTAATAGGACTTGTTATTTCTGAATCCTTAGCACCAATTTTGCTTCTCTCATTTATGAACACAAAAATAACCTGACTTTATTGATACAATTTGTGAATATTTCAGAAGAGACATACAGTTCTTAGATACAGCAAATAAGATATTTCAAAATTATTTCTATTTTTAAACAGTTTTCTTTTAAAGAAGCCACATTAAAAAAGAAAATCACACATTCTTAAACTTTAACTGAAAACAATGTCTATAAATACTGCAAACTTCATTCATTTCTATATAAATTAAAAAAAAAAAAAATGGATTCAAAATGAATATTACCATTTTTTTTGGTGTGTAAGACATTTTACCTGAAAATTTGATGTCAAAGTCTGCTTGTGTCTTATACACCAAAGGTATTAATAATTATATATATATATATATATATGTGTGTGTGTGTGTGTGTAAAAATATATAGAAAATAGGAAAGAACTCGTGAGGTAAATAATCCAAAGTTCTTTAGTATTTTTGTTATTATTTTTAAAAATAGTGCTCTATACAAAAGTAGAGCATAAATATAATTATTTAAAAATATGATTCCAACGCTACATAAGAGTTCTCATGTTTCAAAACAAGAGCCGAAAACTTCAATATAATTATTTGAATTAAATTGAATTAAAGTACCAAGCTCTGTTCCATCTTCAAGTGAAATTTTTTTTTTGAATAACTTATAAAATGTATTATACAATATATATATATATATATATATATATATATATATATATATATATATATTAGTATTGTGTAATACATTTTAGATGCATCAAGGGTGGTCTTCAGTGATGCACTGTCCTCATTGCCAATTTCGGGTTTTGCATCATATCAGCTCAAACAGCAACCCTGACCTGAATACAGAAGAGTCAGGATGCTTACTTGATAGCGTTGTACTACGTACCTCAACATTGCAAAGAAAAATTCAGATATGACTAGGAGCCAGACTGTTCAATAAGAACGGTCGCACTCCTAGACATATATATATATATATATATATATATATATATATATATATATATATACACACACACACACAGTGTCCACCACAAGATCTATCCGCTTTTTTACTTTTTTGTCAATTTGAATATTTATAAACATGCATTTCATTTAATATTTAATTTAAACTGTTAATCTTCTTTGTAAGTGAAACATTAATATTTCTTAATTTTAACCATTAATCTTGTTTGCAAGTCAATAAACACTGCATTGTCATTTAAAAAGTGAGTGCTTTTTTATGACACCCAGTTTGTGTGCGTGTGTGTGTGTGTGAGATATATACAAACTGATGTAACGAATATGCATACACCTGTGTTCCCCCTCACAGTTATATGATTGGCTGGTGTCAGCCATAAATACAGACTGATGTGGAGGTACAGCATGACACCTATTGAACACCTATCGCCTATTGTGTACCACTACAACAAGGACCAGTCCATTACGGTTACCTGCTAGATTGTCCTAACCGGTTACAGTAGCGAACAACCACTTTGCTACTTCGAACAAATATATCTCTTTCCAGAACATATCACAAACCATGCATTTAAATAGGAATGGTTTAGTTGACTTGAATATCTTATAACAATAGCATGGATTTCAAATGTGAAATGTACATCACCAATCAGAGTGCTTAATGCAGTTAAGATAGGTCATTGCCTAATCATTATTTCAATTTTCATTAGATAATTGGCAAAACTGTCTACAAAATAAGGATCCATTTTATACATTAGTACGTCTTATATTATGAAAAATAGAGTATATAGAAATTTAAAGATTATTCAGCAAAACACATGAACCAAAAAATTTATAGTGTGTGTGGGAATCAAAGTAATATTCTATATTTATAGTTATGATTGCTTGGCTAAATTCCTTTATTTGGTGCTTCAAATCTTTTATAACTATCATTGTTTTCTTCAGTTTCTGACTCCCAGGAATATTGAGGAAAACACTAGACTATATAAATTTTCTGAGATGAAAGAAAAATTCTGCTAAAAATATAGCAATATTTACTCAGTTGCATAATACATTTTAGATGCATCAAGAGTGGTCTTCAGTGATGCACTGTCCTCATCACTGATTTTGGATTTTGCATCACATCGGCTCAAACATCAACACCAACCTGACTCATCAAGAGTCAGGTTGTCTTTCTGAAAGTGTTGTGCTATGCACCTCGACATTGCAAAAAAGATCTATTGTTTATCAATGTAGAAATTCTTTCACAATGATATACTGTTTTGTCAAAAATGCTACTAAATACTGTTTTTTTTTTTAAATAATGCTTAAACACAAAATTTTTTTTAACAGTCAGGGAAATGCGCAATTTGCTGAATCATCTGACAAAAAGACTTGGGAAGAAAAAGAAGGAAGACAATAAGTTGTCTTATTTAGAAAAATATTGAAATTCTGATAAATTTCAAAACACATTCAAGAACAATTTTTTTTTTGTCACAAGGCTATTTTGATATTTCCGCAATTTTGGCAAAAGGCAAATATGAAATTGGTAAATTTGGACACAATTTGAAATGGGTAAGAATAGTAAGTGAATCAATTATGGTGCATGTATGGTGGAGGCCAGACTGAAATGCGACTGTTTATTGCAACGGATTATCATTTTCAGAAGAGAAACTGAAAATCATTATTTACACGATTTACATTGTTCGGACTATTGGACTCATCTTTATTACTATGTTCCTAACATTTTGGCTGTTGTATGCTCCAAACTTCTTCAGGTGATAGAATTTTAAAAGAATAAAGACGAGGACAACAGTCTGAATGACATAAATAGTGTAAATAGTTACAATATCTCATCTTTGAAATAGAGACAAATCCTGAAGAAGGCCGGAACGTACAATGACTGAAATGTCTTGAATATGACAATAAAGATGAGGACAACAACCCAAACAATGTAAATAGTTACAATATCTCATCTTAGAAATAGAGACAGATATTGAAAATCATTAATTGGTTACAGACCATGTACCTGCTATCTGTTTCTTTTAAGAATTTACAGCAAGTTCAGGTTTTTCTATAAACAATAGTTACCTTACATTGACTTAATTTAAATAATAGTACAAATTAAGAAAAGTGATGTAATCATATTTGAGTTTGTTTTCTTGAAAGTTGCTATTTATTTTTTATTTTAATCAAACTGACATGCCTCTGCAAGAAAAAAGAGAGATAACTCATACTTTGTAACTATTCCTTAGAACCAATCTTGCTAATAAGAGGAATATGTTTTTCAACACTAGTAAAACAAGATTAAATTAATTTGCATCCAGTTTATGCCTATAAAACGGTTCTATAAATAGAGATGTGATACACTCTTGATGGACAGTTTTAAGGTTGCAGATTAACTCATTTTGTAAAAGTGATTTATGAAAAAATGAAAAAGAAATTAATAAAAATATTAACTTATAAAATGTTAGCAATGTTTAATCTTCATGCCCACAAAAAATGGTGAGTCAAAAAGGACAGTTATTCCCCTGACACCGTTATTACTGTATACAATTTTGATTCTCTCAGCAAGGTTTGTTTGTAAAAATTGATGATTAGAATTTTAATAAAACCCAAATATATGAAAATAGATTTATATATTTTCTTTATTCTTGAGAATTCACAACAGTAGATATTAAACACTATTAGATTAAATAAAAAAAACTTGTTTTCATAGTTATTTATAAAATGGTAAATAATGAATATTGCATTGTAGTTGGTTTACATCTTTTGATGATTTTATAAATTTTTGAATAAAAAGATTTCTTCTCAAATTTATTTCTTTATAAAATAGTAAATAATATCACATTGTATTTGGTCCACATATTTTTAACCTTTTTTTTTTAATCTTATAAACATTGCCGAGGAAGTAAAAAGTGTATACAGTAATAGTGGTGTCAAAGAAATAACCATCCTTTTGACTAGCTGTTTTTTTTTTGGCAAGCATGAAAGTTAAACTTTACCAAAATATCAATATTATAAAGCAAAGAAACATGAAGAAGCATCAGTATACTGAAAACTTATGAAATTGGTCAAAGAGAATGACAATTATTTTTTTTTCTATAACATATGAAAGAACGTTTCAGTCAAGACCAAATTATGATTAAATAATAACACCCGACTCGTTTTCATATGTTCGGTAACATTTTTTTTTATATTCAGATATTTGAAAAATGACTGAAACTGTTTCAATTTAAAGTTTGTTAAAATTCAGCCAGCAACACACACAATAGCCTGCAAATAAAAGAAAATGCTTGACTTCTTGAAATTATTTGTTCATACCTCTGTAGTTGTGCAAGCATACTCAGGTCACTTTCCAGGGATTGAAGTGCAAGAAAAGTTTTGGTTTTCTGTTTCCTATAGAAAAGGAAAGGCAAAGATTTAACCAATGTACATTTGATAATCATTAGAACAATAAACATTGCCAGAAAGGATTTTCTTAAAAAGAATAAAAAAATAACAGTCAAATATATACTAACAAATTTGTAGATATTTATATCAAGGATCAAAGTCTTTTCATTTTGTATATTTTAAAAGTTTGTTTCAATTCAAAGAATGGATATTACACTTTGGTTTAAAGTTAGAACAAGAAAAATTCTTTCCTGGTTTTTCTATCAATATCCATGACAAGAAAAATATCAGATCCTTTTTAAAATTAGACAGCTGTTGTCATTATTAAAAAAAAAAATGACTTCAGCAAGAATAGTAAAAAAAAAAAAAAAAAAAATAATCTGGTTGACATCTAATCCAGCTCAGCTCCCTCTCTTTCCGTTTTCTAGTGGTAAGGAGGGTGGCATGTCACCCACAAGAGGATGTCGTAGGGTGGATGAGTTTCTTATAGGAGCTAATAGCTAATGTGCACATGTGTGTGTGTGTATATATATATATATATATATATATATATATATATATATATAAAGATGAGGTTGCAAGTCTTGAATGGCAATCTTCCTAGAGATGGTGTCTTGCTAAAAAGATTTGGGGTACTTGCGCTACGGGCGAGTGTCAGGAAGAACATCTGGCCTTGTAAAACCTTGCCTCAAATCACTAGAATAAATTCTTTGTCAGACAGAATCCACTTTGCTTTGTGCAAGATTAATGCCAATCCTGCCTCAACAAAAAAAAAAAACATGGCCATGTATGTAGTATTGCTTTGATATTTTAAACATTATGTTTTCTATAAAATAAATGATCTTTCAGTGTCACAGAAGCATCTGGTCACTTTTAGTAGATATTATTTAGGTATATGCAGTGCTGCAAAAAAGTGAACGAACCCTTAAGATATTATTAAAAAAAATTTGTCTCTCCACCCCCCCACCAGATAATCAACAAATCTTAATTAAACTATATATTCTTTAAAGAAAAACAGTTATTACATAAATTACAAACACTTTCACTTTTTTATCAAGTTGGGATAAAAATATTAATTAAAAATTAAGATGTGCAAAAGTAAGTGAACCCTTACATTTACACACTGTATTTTTGTTTTACGTGGTTGCCAGTGCAAATATTTTTTTATACATGTGTCATAACCAAAATGACATGTTAATTTTTTTGGTAAGTAGTGTATACTGCAATCATTGTGTATATAAAAGTCTGCAGTTAGAGACTAAATTAAAAAAAAAAATATATCAAGATATCTTCCCAAAGCTTTAAAAAATTGCATTGTATTGCCAATCCTCTCACATGGTGTCAGATGTAATGCAATCTCTGGTCAAGGCATCCATGTGACACTCTATCCTAACCCCACTGGGCCGATGTCATCTACAAGACCATCTGTTGGTCCTGTATGGTCCAGTATTACAGGTTAGACCTATGTCTCCGGCTTCAAATGTCGATTCGATTCCACTCACCAGCCACAATGTGATTTTTGATCCTGGTGAGTAGTTATCGGGTTGTAGAATTCCGAAAGCTCTCCGTTGGTCTACCTACAAGCTTGTTGGGTGAGAATTTGGTTAACAGCAAATAAATATGGCCAAGTCAATCCAATTTTAGAGGGACAAATGTTATATATATATATATATATATATATATAACATCAACAATACATATAATAATACAATTCTCGTGGCAAAATTTGAATATCTTTTGTATATGAACGAAGATCAACAAAACAAAAAACTACTTCATGTAATTTTGCTAAAGGAGAGAGGTGGCTTCGTTTTAACCCTTTTTGGTCTGTTCTTAGTGCAACTACTACAACTGTTGATGTTCCTGTCCTCAGTAGTAGTAATATTAGTGGTAGCAAGAGCAGCAGTACTTATCTCAACAGCACATGTTAGCAGGTGCTTTGTTCCAATCTCTGATCAGTTCAACTGCATACGAAGATAGACAAACCCGAACTCCCCTTTTTAATCTCCAATATCTCTCCACCCAGCTCAACTGCACTCGAAGACAGATGAGCCAAAACTCTCCTCTTCTTCCGGTTGGCTTGCCTCTTTATATAGAGAACTGGTGGCATATCTGTTTTTCTAGTGCAAGTGTACTGACATACTTCCAAAGTATAATTTCACTCCTCTGAGTAAACAGTTTACTTTTTCACTAAGTGGCCTTCAAGGTCCACAACAAGACTATTATTATCACCTCGCTAGCAATCACTGCCGCTTTTTGTAAACTACAGAGAGTCCAGTTTCAAAAATAAATTCTAAATCAAACCATCCTTTATTCTAACTTCAATTCTTAAAGTGTCAAAATCTATTTCTTTTTCTAAAAGTTCCAATTATCATTGTCCCAGTAATTTTCTATTAGTAATCTGATATCCTTTGTACACTTACAAAAAGATTGTATTTCGTGTTCTAAATTAACTTTCTGTAACATTTACATTTCAAAGTCTTTATAGCATTTTTAACATCTTGGTTCTTTTGAAAATGCCTTTTTTTCCTGTTTTCCAGAATATTCTCTTTTATTATCATTATTATTATTATTATTTTGTGGGTGATATCACAGCATAGTTGAAACCTATAATGATGGAGAAGGACACAAAAAGCTATGAAAACGATTTGTAGTGCACGTATCCAGCATGCAACAAATTATTTATAAATAGAAAGCATTTGGTATGATGGCATCGCAATCAAGAAGTGGCTGTTCATGAAAAATACTTGCAAGAGCAAGTAGACATCTAGTTCGGCAAGCCCAGGTATATCCTGCTGTGAATTCTGTGATTCTCCAAGGCTGCCTTGCCTATGTCAGAATCAATGTGCATAAAGCTACAGTGCAACTATATCTGGACAATGCCAGTCATCATGGCAGAATGTCTAGAAAAAAAGCCACTGCTTACAAAAAAGCACAAGCTAACTCAACTCAACTAGGCTAAAGCTCATATTAATAAGATAGAAATATTCTAGTGAAAGGTTTTATGGTTGGATGGGATCAAACTAGAGCATTTGGGGATGATGGATAGGTGGTATGTCTGGTGAGCTCTTAATACAGCTGTTGAAGAGAAGAATTTGGTGCTGTTAAACATGGTGGCAGCAGCATTATGACTTGGAGATGCCTTGCTCTTGCTGAAATAGGCATTAACAGCACAATGGACTTCTGTGACACCCACCGGTGGTCGCAGCGCCAATATGAGACGTTCTCTTGTCGCGACGCCAATATGTGACACTGCGCTGTTGGTCGTGGTCAACTCTCAGTTGCGGCGTGAAGCTGTAAGGTTTCTTCCACCAGCGTTTTGGGGTCGACTCTTTGCCGCTGCCACCAGCCTGTGTCCTGGTCGATCTGGTTGTTCCTGGTTCGATACCAGCTTTGTCGTTCCCAGCTCACTTTCAATGTCTGGTTACCAAAGTAACTACTTTGATCTCAAATCTAACCTACCCATGTTGTGACTTTGATCTTAGGTAGACGAAATCGATCAGGTGTCGGGCCATAGTGCAAGCTGAATCCGGGGTAAAGGTGATACCGCACAAGCGTAAGTAAAAGAAGCAATAAAACAAACTCAAGAGGTTCAAATATGTTGAGAAATAACAAACTATCTTTATCTGTCTGTTATGTACAGGAGTGTGTTTCTCTTCCAGCCCGTTTCTATGGATTTGTGACACTTTTGCGTTTCTTAAGTGAGTTTTAGTATCTTAAGTCGTTCGTCAATATAACTTGCTTTTGGTAGGAAGTCAAAAAGGACGTGAAAATCTCTCGGTCAGCTTCTGCGAGGCAATAGTCTGACTGCAATTGCGAATCAACTGCTGAAACTCCGCTGGAACTAACTCTAACTACCCAGGGATGTTCATTTATATGGGCACCGACCAAAACCCAGTGTGGGGGTCTGGCGTGGCTTGGGTTCCCGATAATTCTCGATTCCCAGCAAGAATTCTCTTTGTTCTTAGGCTAGGAAAATTAATTACTTCCCATTTTTGGAAGATTAATCACTTTCCATTTTGGGGTTTTTTCCCTCATCCATGAAGAAAGGTCGGAGGAGAGTTATCCTCCCAGACTCTTCCTCTCTCATATTGGTATCTCATACCAATCCCCTCAGTGGGTGTTAACAACTTCTCAGTCTTTCTCATACATTCACCTCCGCCTATCACCCATGCTACTACTTGACCAATGATCTCTCAGCAGTGTGGGTGTGGCTAGACTGGCCCTCTTAAAATTATTATCCAGAATTTTTTTCTTTTTTTTTCCTTCGGCCAAAACATTTTTTTTACAAACCCCAGATTGCCAAATAATTCTTATCACATCTTTCTTTCGGGGACATCCAAAATTCACTTAGTCGGGTCTCTCTACTGATTCATCAATCACTGTCAAAACCCGACACCTGGTTTCTTCTGCTAAGTCAACTTTTAGCTGGGAGGTCCGTTTTTTAACCGAGAATCAAATTCTTTATTTTTCTCATGCCTTAAAATCCTCTTATCACCAGATGCCCATTTTCGACGACGCTGTGTCTGACATCAACAGTTTGAATAAGCAATAATAATAATTTCCTTTACGATTTTCTTCCTCATGCCAGAATTCTAACACACACACCAGATGGTTCCCTTCGTTGGACCCAGGAATTAAAATTAAATAATATCTCTGAAAGATAACTAATATCGATTCTCTCTGCCTGTACTGTGGTGGTCTCGAGCCGAAATTCTTTTTATGGCCGCCATGTGTCGGTTGGCTTTGTTTTTCTTTCTGAATTCTGTTTCCCTTGGTGTGTCACTCTCTTATCATGACATGAATCAGTTTTGACAGAATCTCATATCTTGCTTTTTCCTTACGGATTTTCTGTCTCGTGCGAAAAGTATCTTTTTTCGTAAATAAAATAAAATCTTTTTTAACGTCAATCAGTCTATCTTTCGATATAGCTCTTTCTCACCTTAAGTCTTTCCTGTTTTTAATTTCTATGGTTAATTAGTTAGCCAATTAGCATAGCTAAATAGTGTCACACTTCACAAGATATCAAACAATTTTTTGAATGAAAGAAATTTCAAATTTTGGAATGGCCTAGTCAAAGTACTGATCTGAACCCAATTGAAAATCTGTGATTCAAGTTAAAGAAGGCAGTATATGCAAGAAAACCATGGCCAGTTGACCGAGGTAATATTGAGCAATTGCAGGGGTTTTGCTAAGAAGAATAGTTAAAAATTGACACTCACCACTGCCACAAACTTCTTAAAGATTATAAAAAACTGATTGATGTTATGACCTCAAAAGTAGGAGTCACCAAATATTAAATGTATGAGTTCACTTACTTTTGCATATCTTAATTTTAATTAATATTTTTATTCCGGCTTGATAAAATTTTTTTTAAAGTGGTTGCAATTCATTTAATAAATGTTTTTCTTACTGAATATATAGTTTAATTAAAATTTGTTGATTATCTGGAAAACAAAACAAATTTTTTAATATTATCTTAGGTGTTCACTTATTTTTGTGCAGCATTGTAGATATTCTATTAAAGAGGAGAGAAAATGGATCTATGAACAAATGCAAAGACAAATATTTTGTTTTGTACTACAAAACCACAAGTGGCAGTTGATGCGAGTGTAATGACTTTTTCTTTGGCCCATACATAAATAAAATAAAAACACCTGCTATTTTGGATGTTTCTCATATTGGAAATATATATAAATGTAAAAAGAAAGACATTTTCTCACTAAACTTCATCCAATATGTAGCACAAAAGCCATTCAAGGTAGAAGGTTACAGTTGTCAAAATTATTGTCCTCATCTTTGTTGCTATCACAATGTTTCTACTAATGTGTCTTCTGGCCTTGATCAGGTGTATATCGATCTGGCTAACCTACAGGGAATTCCAACTGCGCAAGTTTACCTTGGAGATTAAATAAAGAGTTCAGTTCAGAATTCCTTGTAGACTGCTTAGATTGATATACACCTGAGGGAGGCCAGAGGGTACAATGATCGAAACGTTGTGATAACAACAAAGATAAGGAGAATAGCCCAACTGTAAATAGTGTAAATAATGATAATTCCTTATCTCAGAAATTCATCAAAATGGTCATTTTGAATAAAGTGTGTGATACTGATGAAAGAGAAGTAGAGCAAGAAAAGAAGGTTATGAGATTAGTGAAGAAAGACGAGGGTTGACCTTTGACCTAAATGCGATTATTATATATCTGAGCATGTATGATTGGAAAAAAAAAATTCATTTTTACTCTAAACTTACTTGTCACCACTTATGTTATAAATCTGGCACAATCCTTCTAGATGAGAAGTGAATTCATTGAAGTCTCCTCGGCTGTAAATAAAAAAAAAACAAAAAAAAACACATTATTATAAATAATACAAGGCAAAAAAAAAATTATTTCATTTCATATATCCCTCCACTTTAAGTAACATGTCCCTTAAAAATGTAGGCAATCATGGTCCTCCACAGATACCCTTTTTAATCATTGTAAATTTTGTACTGCCATAATTATTTGTGATAGTGGAATGGTTCCTATTACCTCTGCTAGTTTTGAATTGTCCTTTGAATTGCCAACCCCTTATTCGTTCTCTATGGCTTATCAATCCTTTGCCAGTTATTTAAAACCAGAAAATATTTTTCGATTGTAAGAATTTTTTTGAGATAATAATGGTTTAGTGATACAATTTTACTAATTATGGGGGGAGAAGAGAGTTCATAGCTTTCCTAAGGGTATTTGCAAGTAAGTGAATATAGAGAAATCCAACTGGATTTGGAACTTGGCTCTCTGATTAACAATTTTAAACCATTATCCATTACACCACTTGCACATCTCAGTTTACAGCAACTGGTATTCCCAAGCAGTCAACCATCCAGTTTCGACATTGCTTAAATTCTGTGAAGTTGTTCTTCTCCTACATAGGTTGCCAAATGAAGTCGAAGAAAGAGAAATGACTGCAAGGCTATAGCAGTAGTAGAAAAGAGAAGCCTTGATGAATGCAGTAGAGTGTGACAAGTAGTAGCAGTCATCAGCAGGCAGATTGGGTTTAAGAATCCAAGTATGACACATGGTAAAGCATTGCTTCTTGAATTTAGTGACATAGTAATTATGAGTTCAATCCTTGGATTGGGCAATGCAGATATAGCCTCAGTGGAAAACTGGAAAATAATTACTGTGCAGTACTAAATAAGTAATAGATATGATATCTCTAGCAATAACAATCTTGTAGTTTAAATAAAGGGTTCAGTTTTAAATTCTCTAAATATTACAGATTACTTTTGTATATAAATACTTGTTACAAAATAAAATCCATACATTTGCCTTGATAAAGTCCATCAGAGAAACAAATGTGTCATCTAAGTTTCCTTTTTATACTTACTTACACACATACACACATAAAACAATTTCTTTTTTTCATGAATTATTCATTGTAATTCCCAGGTAAAAAAAAAAAAAAAAAAAAAAAAACTTGGTTTTTCAATTTTAATTCTCTTTGCATTGCATATTTTTTGTTTCTTATTTATTAAATTTGTATATTTCTTATACATTTTTGCAGTGTATAGATTCTAATACAATGCCTGAAAAACTGTTCAGGTCTGAGCTGGTGAAATTGGTTAACTAGTAACTGTTACCTCACATTTGTATTCAAGAACCTTACCTGAGCACGTCTTGAAGATCTTGACAGCTCTAAAATTTAAAAGAAAAGAAAAAAAAGTGTTAGCAGAAACAATCAATTGAAAATTAACTTAAGGTACAAAAAAAAATAAAATAAAAAATATAAATGGCTGTTTTGTTTTAAATTTGATAAATATTAAAACTGGCATTTATAGTAAAATTCTGCTTTTTAGAAAGGGGGGTAGCTGAAAACTTCTGAAATCATAATTTCAAAATAAATTCAAGATTTTGAGAAGTGTCCATTTTTCTTAAGAACTTCCACCATTCCCAATATATATATATATATATATATATATATATATATTTAACTTAAATGTTATTTTCAGTGGATTTGAGTAGGCACTCCATTTATTTATTAAACAGTATATTTATTTTTGTCAACTGGCCTGAATATTTGAGAAATCTTATTAGAGAATTAATCTTATTAGAAAAAAAAAATAATGCAGGTTTGAATCCTGCCAGAGAGCGCATATTTATCTCTAGTAAAATTTCTTGAACATTCAGCCTGTCAAATGAAAATAAATAAGTATGCTATTTAATAAATAAATGGAGCATCTATTCAAATACAAATATTCAATAAAAATAACATTTAAGTAATAAAAGTCCGTCAGATTTATAAAGAAAAAATCCACTCCTTTCTTTACACACACAACACTATATATAAAAAAGAAAAACAGACCACTTTAAGGTTCCATTATAATAATTTATTTCACCAGAGCCCTTTTAAAGGACTCTGGATCATCAGATAGGATTTATACTTTTGATGGGTAGTGTAAGTTTTTGTAATTTAACAGAGGGGATAATGAGGGGTAGTTTGAGAGACATGGTCGAGTCTAGAGAGAGTATGTATATATATATATATATATATATATATATATATATATATATATATATATAGAGAGAGAGAGAGAGAGAGAGAGAGAGAAAGAAGTGAATTTTAAAGTAAAATTTTCCACCAACAACTAGCAAATGATGTGAAACCAAATGCAAAACAAAGAGTATACTATGAGCTTTTAGTTCAAACCTATTTTCTGAAATAATATGGAAAGTAGTTTCTCAAAAAAAAAAAAAATAAATAAATAAAAGCATCTTCAACATAGTTGGGATGTCGTTGCATATTGACTATAACGGAAACAGCATCCAGAGGAAGACAGTCAATAGTAAAGTAAAATAAAAAAAAATGTAGAATTATGAATTTGTAAATGCTGTTAAGATCAAAATTGTAAAGAATCCAACAATATTCAATTTCAGTTCCTTGTTGATATCAAAAGCATGTCCAGAACTAAATAACAGACTCAAGTCATGAGTGTCCTGACACCTCCATTTTTCTACAATACCTATGAGTTCAAAGCCAACTACCCAGAGAATAATGATGTGTGGAGCCAGGACTCTGCTCCCAGCCATATAGTCAATAAGGTGCAGAAGTTCTTCAAAGTTAGCTTGAACTTGTTAGATTATATGACTACATGGCACTGTGGATAAAGGCATTAGTTAGACCCAGTAACAGGACCCAAAGAGTGTGAGTTCAATACCCTGCTAAGGCAGTGGAGAACCTTCAGAGGGAAATTAACAGGAGATAACTGATAACTGACATCCATTAAACGTGGAACTAGAACAGTCTACCCCAGTGAGTGAAATAAAGGGTTCAGTTTAGTTATGTCATAATGAATTAATGTGACAATAAGGACTAAAACATGAAATATATTTTATGTTTGAACCTCTCATGTTCAAAATGTCTGATATACTGAGTATGTAAAAATTGGCTCAACTTTATGCTAACCTCAAAAAACAGAACAATTCAGTTATTTTGATAGCAACTGTTCTTTAAATGTTAAGTGATTTTCTACAATTTAGCTCCTTTGGAATTGATGGATTATATTATTAGATTGGACTGAATGCAATCCAAAGAATGGAATTTTTTTTCCTAGGAACATTTATTCAGCAGATTTTTATAAGCATTTACAGAGAAAACTTAATTTTTAAGACCTCAGGTGATAGTAAAAAAGAAAAAGAAAGAGAAAAAGGAAACGGGAAAAAAAAAAAAGAAAACAAAAGAAAAAGTAAAAATAAAAATAAATAGAAAAAAATAAAAAGTAAAAAATAAAAAAAGGGAAAAAAAAAAGAAAGAAAAAAAAAAAAAAAAAAAAAAAAAGAAAAAAAAAAAAAAAGAAAAAAAAAAGAAAGAAAAAAAAAGAAAGAAAAAAAAAAGAAAGAAAAAAAAAAGAAAGAAAAAAAAAGAAAGAAAAAAAAAAGAAAGAAAAAAAAAAGAAAGAAAAAAAAAGAAAGAAAAAAAGAAAGAAAAAAAAAGAAAGAAAGAAAAAAAAAAAGAAAGAAAAAAGAAAGAAAGAAAAAAGAAAGAAAGAAAAAAAGAAAGAAAGAAAAAAAGAAAGAAAGAAAAAAAGAAAGAAAGAAAAAAAAAAAAAAAAAAAAAAAAAAAAAAAGAAAAAAAAAAAAAAAAAAAAAAAAAAAAAAAAAAGAAAAGAAAAAAAAGAAAAGAAAAAAAAAAAACAAATAAATTTCATACTTCCGGTTCTCCCTGATGGGCAATCTTCACCTCTTTGGCCATCCCAGCCTTATCCATGACTACTTGGACATAGAACATGTCTGAACTGACATACAGTTGAGAATCGGGTCCATTGGGATGGCTGAACTTGAGCCCCACCTGCCGGGCAACAGCTTCCAGTTGTTCAACAAGTGTCAGCTGGGATAGCACTAAAAACAATAAAAAGAGGAAGTTGGTTAGAAAATGAAAAGGTCAGAGGGAAAACAAAATTAAAAAAAAAATGAATAAAATAAAATATCCTTATCTGTGAAAGTCAAGATTAAGTATCATTTCATGCTACTTTATATATTGGACAAAATTGAGTAGTAGTAGAAATAATAATAATAATAATGGCAAGCTACTCACAACTAGTCAATCCCTTTGGTAGACACCTCCTCAAACACATTTGTATTTCTTTAGCACCCACAAACCCCACCTGTGGTTTATACTCTGGAACTATGCTGAGCAGACCTTAGTTACAGTTTCTGGGAAAGAGCACATAATTTAGCATGATCACCAGCCTGAACAACACCAGTATGATAAAACCTTTGAGTTTTTGATTTTGTGCTATCACAACCATCAACGAACAGTTCTGTTTTCACAATTTCATTCACAAGGCTTGCTCAACCTATGGTATGGTTTTCAGGTATTTTTCAAATGTTGGGATCACCTCCCTAGGCTGATAACATTAAGAAATCAAATCAACTATGGGGAGATATGAATCTGGGTCTCACGGACAGCAAGCAAACATTCTGACCACACATCTATATAATAATACATGCATATGCACAGAATTAAAAAATAGGACTGAAGAAGAAGGAGGAGGAAAAAAAAAAAAAGAAAAAAAGAAGCAATTTATTTACAAATTGGATATTATTTGCTTTTCAGAACTTTGTTTACATCACTTTTCCTTTTCACAAAAGGACCTTCATTAGCACAAAAACTGAAATTTATATGTGGACTGAGTATTGCCAGTTCCTAACAGATAACCATCTTCTAACTCTGCCTGCCTTGACGTGAAAGGCTTGAAAATGTGACGGTAGACTTGATCACTTAGTCTTATACATTATACGGTGGATGTATGGGTGGTGCCTGCCCTCTTTAGTTGTGAGGTGTGGACACCAGACTCATGTGAGTCCAGGTAAAAATAAGAAAACAAAATATGCAACTTCAAACAAATGACAATTAATGCAGGTTATTAACAAGAGGAATTACATGTGTACACAATTGAAATCAAAGGAAAGACATTAAAAACTAGTGATAAGAATATGCTTGTTTCTGGGTATATGTGGGTTCAGTATCCAAATCGACCAGGGGACTCCAATTCTCATCTACAAGCTACATCTTGAAGCAAGGGAAAAGAAAAGGAGAGCAAGAGAAGAGAATATTTGCCTTTTTATAGACTAATAGGCATTTTTGGCAAAGCAAAGTTGGGTAACCCACAGATAGCAGTTCAGAATGAGAAATCAAAGAGCTAAATATAAATTCCAGTCAGGTTCATTAGATTCACTTTTGGAAAGGTATGAATCCAACTCTACCCCAACAGCTATGGGTTAAATAGGACTTGTATATGGAAAAATTGTCGTTATTCTCAAAAACATTGTCATTGTAATATTCACTCACTAAAATGGATTATTCTTACAATCCAAAATAAATTTGAGCTTTAAATAAACCAGAAAGGGGTGATAAACTGTAAAAAATAAATCATTCAATCAATTCTGTATTATACACTTCCCATGTTCTTTGCAGGCACTCAAAAAAATCTTACAAACCTGCCCTAAATCTATTTATTACAATTAAAGTTGTACTTTCTGCAATCATTCATAGTAGAAATCTCATAAGGTTATTTTGGGGGTCCTGTGGGACACTCAAGAATTTTTACCCCAGAAATTAATAACAAATGCTTCTTTGCTTTACACTATTTCAGCTTATGAAAATTTTTTATAAGAATGTTCTACTTTCAGAGAACAGATAAAACCTGTACAAAAACTAACCAACATTATCAAAACCATAATACTTTATATATATATATATATATATATATATATATATATATATATATATATATATATATATATACATACATATTAAATATATTTGTGATCACAGCTATATCTTAAGTTGGCTCAATTCTGTTTTATAGAATTTAAACAGGAAAAGTACTTTAGTTATCCAACTGTTGAAATTTGCTGGCAGGGTCCTCAGAAAATGTTAATGATAGACTATTTTAATGGCCATGAGGTTCATTTGAATAATATTGTGACTGATAAGTGCAAATGTATTAAAAGAAAAAGATTTTTAATTTAAAAATTTTATTTATTATTTTTACATTGCAATCTAGGCATAGTTAGTATTATACATAGATATTTTGTTTCAAAAAGTAAAAACAATTTCTAGTACACAATAGTCCTTTTCATTGCTACTGACAAACTTCAATTGTAGCTTCACCCTACAAAGCAGTTCTGAGTAATTAGAAAAAGTCACATGCAATGAAATTAAAGATGACAACCATAAAAATGGATATAAATGTTAATAAATCTTTTGAAATGTATTAGAAACAGGAAGATTAGGAAGAGCATAGAAATTAAAATTTTAAATACAATCAGTATTTAAAAAAACAAAATAATCATCCCTTAAAATGAAAAAAAAGTTAATGATGTGCCTTGACAATTTTAGTGCCTTATTCAGAGTGTAAAGATTAAAAAAAATGTTGGTACTTATTAAGCTAAGCTTGTTGTAAGATCAGCAGTGTGGTGCACCTTTTAAAAGGGTCTGGCACAAGGCACTTAGTGAGGAGTTGCAATATGATTTGAAATTTGCTAAACAATGCTTTATAGTAGGCATTGAAGTGTATCATTAGTGGATACCTGTTAACTGGGGGCGGGGAGTGTGATCAAATTTTGCCTGAAAAACATTTTATGAGATCTTAGTTCAAATCAATACATTTGGTTCAGGGATTGCCTATATGAAACAAATTAAAACAAAAGATTTTAACAATCCAGCTAATAGAAACAATGTAAATACATTCCACAGGTTGTTGTTATTATTATTATTATTATTGTTGATCATAATAATAATAATATCTTATGTTTCCTGCTTTGCATCCTGTAAAGCCGGGTTTATTAAACTATGGTCCTTAGGCCCTATAGGAAAATTTTATTTAATTGATAGCACTTTTCTTAGTATATGGGATGTTCTTGTAGGGCAATTTTCTGGGTAACTTGTATGTTGATGTTACCTGGAAAACTGTTAGTAACATTGTCCATTCCTTTTCTCAAGAGGTCCAGAGCTCTGATTACTATTGGTTTTCATTCCCCACATCCTGTTAATCTTGATCTCCAGATCCTTGTATTTGGACAATTTCTCAATAATTTTCATGAAGGTGTTTCTCTCAGATGGTACTGCTATGTCAATAAGCATACACTTCCTGAATTTCTTGTCTTTTATGATAATATTAGATCTGTTGGCTTTTATTTCCCTGTCAGTATTGATATTATTATTATTATTAGTAGTAGTAGTAGTAATATTGATATTATTATTACCAATATGAACATTATTATTATTGTTGTTGTTATTATTTATTGTTGTTCTAATAATATTAATGAGAAGTCATTTTCCCCAGACTTTATTGTTATTAGCACAGTGTTTATGGTGCCAATATATTCTTCAGAAGGCATTTTTCCTTCTTTCTCTTCTTCTTCCTAAATGAAAACACCACAGTCTATTAACAGAGTTGCAAAAAAGGTCTTCTTGTGTTAATCTAAAGAACAAGTGAGTTAATCTTACTGACACCTGAGGACAAATTTCTATCTTACCTGTTCTTACATTAATTATTCTAACTAGACAGATATTCAAAATTGTAATTCCTTTAAAATTAAAATTTCACAAATAACTTTACAGATTTTGAAAATTGATTCATCATCATCACATATAAAATAAAATTTGCCTTACTGATGAGAGTGATTTAAAAACTACACTAGTCTCCTCTCACACAACAAAAGTCTCTCCCCCTCCTCCCTTTGTGACGACTATTATTACATTTGCATGCTCTTCTTAGTTCAATTTAATCTGGAAAATGGTTATCTAACCAAAAATGAATAATAATTTAACCAGGGCAACTCTAGATAACCATGATGGTGTGTACACTACACACATAAACAAGCATATATAACTGTGCTTGAAGTTGCTCATTAAATAAAGATGTTAGCAGCAATAATAAGGAGTGGAGAAGGAGTATTTGTGATTGTATGGGGTGTGGAAGCCAAACAAAAAAACTGTTTGCTTAACCACTTTGTAAGTTTGAAATGTGACCCAACTTAACATATGCTTTTTTACTCCGCTTTCGCTAACTGAAAAAATAGATCCAGTTTTAGGATATCCGAATTCCCTTGGTGAGTATCTCTCACTCACTCCCTCTCTCTCACACAATCAATTTCTTCCCTCCCAGCGCCAATACACAAGACATTGGTGTTAATTATGGCTTCTCGAAGAGGAGAAGTAGTTATAGTAATATCTAAGTGTAGTGGCTATATAACAGTACTACTTCAAAATGTAGTAGCTGCAGTATTACTTTCAAATGGTCATTGGTTAACAGTAACACTACTAGCAGGAGCAATAGTATTCCTTTTTGTAGTAGTAAGAAAACCGAATATGTGACTGTAAGTGTAATAGTAGCAGGTGGTGATAGTAGAAGTACAAGTTAATGATTATAGAAGTAGCAATAGTGGATGGAATGTTGGTAACTTGGTATTAATAACAGCCGTAGAGGTAGTGGGAGTAACTGTAGTGTAGTAGTAGTACTACTATTTACGGGGTTCAATCGTTAAATTTTAATTCATTTAATATATTTTTTTTTACTATAGACAACGTGAAAATGCAAAGATGAGGCTCAAAGCTTATTAAAAGAAATTATAAAATCTTTCTTAAAAAAAAAGAAAAAAAAAAGTGGGTTTTGGGGATGAAATCAAAATAAATTGTTTGATTGACAGAATAAAAAATGAGAGCACAGTGAGTCTGTCTGTCTAATAATGGCAAAATTTAAAATTACGGTATTTCTCCGAATTGATTTCATAAGCGGTAATGACAGTTAAATAATTTAACTGTCATTGTAAGTAAAAATAAATGACCAATTCGTAGTAGTACAACAAGTAGTAGTCATATTTTCATGGAA